TTATGCAGCATAGGTAGAGCAACATATTTTACACACCGCCAAATGCACAGCGTATCCATGTTTCAATATAGTAACATATGCGTTGTCGCAGTGGCAGCGGTTGTATAGCTGCTTGGTGTATGTGTGTATGGCCTTTAATCTATATATATATATATATATGTGCCATACTATAGCACACACAATCAATTCATATCATATCATATCAGAACAGATCAGATCATATCAGATCAGATCAGATCGTATGATATCAGATCATATCATGTCATATCGTACCATATCATATCATATCAAATCATATCATATCATATAATATACCGTGTTATCTGGGGCCCAGGCACTGGGCTGGCACACGCTTCCACATCCCCTTTTTTCGGCACCGGACATTCGGACCCCCTCCCAATCATTCCCAGGGAGCACAAATGAGCGACTAGAGCGGCCCAACATTGCCCCAGGATGGCTTAAGATGGCCGAAGAACCCCCAAGAGCCCAAGAGTTCCCCAAGACTCCCCGAAAAAAGGTTCCAATATCCTCCCCACGAGGGCCCCAGATGGCCAACATTGCGCCACTCTTGTCGGAGAACTTATATTGCTAAGGCCTTACGACCGGCGCCGCCGACCCTGGAAGCTTTGGCCTTCGACAGAAATGAGAGGGAGAGAGCGGGCCATGGGCCCTGGGAGGGTAATATTTTGACCCAGGACCACCCCCTAGGACATGATTTTCAGCATATCCGCTTTTTAGGTTTAGCCAAAGTCCAAGACTGCCCAAGAGGCCCCCAATATTTCCCCAAGACCGCCCAAGAGAACCCTAAGAGAGCCCCAAAACGGCCCCAGAGAGCCCCAGGGTGGTCCAAGAGGGGCTCAAAACGGCTTCACATGGCCCAGAGAGGGACCTACGACGGGGGATTCCAACTCACATTTCGAGCCCTCCGCCCTCAGTGGGCCCCCCAGACCGCCAGCAGGCCTCCAAGAGGCCCCCCGTTTTCCGATGATGTCTCGAGCGAAACGCTGTTTTTAAGCCCCGAAGGCCGTCCTACTCGATAAAAAACGAGGCGGGAGGGCAATTAGATCCGGGGCCGCGGATGCCAACCCCCTCGAACTCCCCCAAGTCCAATTTCTTCCGACTAACGGACCGCACGCTAACGCGCGCTTTCCGTCATCCGCCGCCCCCTGTTGATTCATCACAACGGGTGCCCGGCGTGCTGGACTTCTGAGGCCCTCCAGGAAGGCCCGAAGAGGCCAAAACCGTTGATTTTTTGAAGGTGTTTGAAGGATTCTGGCATTCGCGCATTTTCGGCTTTCCGACGGCCCAAGAAGGCCAAGGGGCCCCCAAGGTCGCCGCAAGATCGCCTAAGAGGCCTCCAACATGGCCCCATGACGGCCCAAGAGGCCCCTCAAGACGGCCCCGAGAGGGCAAGACAGCCCAAGAGGCCTCGAAGACGCCCAAGATGGCCTCCAAGATGGCCCAGACGGCCTCCAAGACGGCTAAGATGGCCCCAAGATGCTTCCAAGACGGCCCAAGATGCACCCAAGACGGCCTTAGGTGGGCCCAAGAGGCCGCTAAGAGGCTTCTAAGACGGGCCAAAGAGGCCTCCAAGAGGTCCTCCAGGAAGGGCCGAAGGGCCGAAGGATTTTAGCATTTGCGCATCTTCGCCCTTCCAACGGCCCAAGACGGCCCAAGAGGCCCCCAAGGTCGCCCCAAGATCGCCCAAGAGGCCTCCAAGATGGCCCCATGGCGGCCCAAGAGGCCCGCCCCAAGAGGGCCCCAAGACGCCTCCGCGACGCCCTCGATGGCCTCGAAGACGGCTAAGATGGCCCAAGATGGCCTCCAAGATGTCTCGAAGACGGCCAAGATGGCCTCCAAGACGGCGAAGATGGCCCAAAGCTGCTCTAAGACGGCCCAAGATGCACCCAAGACGGCCTTAGATGGCCCAAGACGGCCCAATAGGCATCGAAGAGGCCTCCAAGACGGCCCCAGAGGTCTCCAAGAGGTCTTCCAGGAAGGCCCGAAGAGGCCAAAACCATTGGTTGTCCTAAGGTGTTGGAAGGATTTTGGCATTCGCGCATGTTCAGCCCTCCGACGGCCCAAGAAGGCCCAAGAGGCACCCAAGGTCGCTCGAAGATCGCCCAAGAGGCCTCCAAGATATGGTGTAAGATAGCCTCAAGATGGCCCAAGACGGCCCAAGAGGCGTCAATACGGCCCAAGAGGCCTCCAAGAGGTCCTCCAGGAGGGCCCGAAGAGGCCAAAATCATTGATGTGTCTCAGGTTTGTGAAGAATTTTGGCATGTGCCTCTTCTCTGCATTCCGACGGCTCAAGACGGCCCGAGAGGCCCCAAGAGGTCCCCAAGACGGCCCAAGAGGCCTTCAAGACGCCCAAGATGGTCTCGAAGATGGCCCAAGAGCCCTCCAAGACGTCCTCCAAGAAGGCCAGGAAGGGTCAAAATGGCCTCCAGACGGCCAAGAGGACCTTCAAAATGCCCACGTGTTCCCCGAACGCTTTCGAAACCGATTCGGGGAACACATGGTCCGATAGCTTGAAAGCCCCTCTGGCCACACCTGTCGGCCACATAAGGGCTTCCACAAGGGCGGGGGGCGGCGGAGACTTGCCGTAGGCGTCTTAGATTAACAAACCATGAGCCAGGCGAAGGCCTCTGACGCCAAAAGTGGAGCTCCCTGCGGGGACGGCCCGTATGATGTATGTGCCGAAATGGGCGCGGGGACGCCATGCGAAGTTGCCCATTGGTGCCATAGGTGGAGCTCGTTCATTCGCGTGAGGTGCGTCCCGAAATAGGCGGGAGCATGTTGTGCGAACCTTGGCTCTGGAACTGTGGATGCTGCTCCTTGTGGAGCGCGATCCGCGCGAGGGGTGTGCCGCAATGGGAGGATTGGGCGACCTTCGTGTCAACTGGGGGCCTACGGTTTTTTGAAAGCAGCTTAGAGAGGTTTACGGGTGGCCCCCCCGTTTGACAAGTGTGTCACTCAATGCATGCATGCATGGACGTATGGATGGTTATTTGGTGTATGTATACTTGTGGGAAGAAATCGATCGATCGATGCCTGGATGCATACGTTCACAGGTGTTTTCCCGGCTGCTTGGATGTTTTCCCGGCTGCTTGGATGAAGATGTCTGGATGAGGGTATTCATCAATGTCAGATGATGGCATCTATGGATGAGGCATGTATGGATGAATGTATGGTTGGATGTGTGTATGGACGGACGGGTGCATGCATGTGTGCATGCACGTTTTGAGACATAGCTGAAACGTGCCAGAATCGAAGCGCGCGAATCGCGCGACGGACCCTAAGTGAGCCAATGCCTCACAATACACTTGAGGATGAACGCTCGCACAAATCGTGGCATGCACTCATTGTGTTGAGCAAGCCCTGCGCTAGAGCTGAGGCCATTCGTGAGTACGCACATGAATGCGCTCGTGAACTTGTTAATGCGTGCAGCCGTGACCTTGTCAGGGGCTGGCCCCTTGCTAGAATCTATATATATATATATATAGATGAAAAATCCATGGCATTCGATATACATATCTATGTGGATCCATATATATATATGTACACATACTATATATATGTCCAAATACATATGTGTATATGTGTGCAAATCGGTATATCTATATATATATATATACCAATATGATTATTCCTACATGTCAACATGTGTATGGTGTTATACATGAACATATATATATATATACATATCTTTTCATGTTTATATATGTACATATGTATGCAACTATTTCGGCATGCAGATATGTCTTTCAGCCGGTGTCGATACATACATATGCATTGGTACATCTATATGTATATGTGTGTATATATATATATGTACATATATATACACATACATACACCTGTAAATGTATAGAGATGAATCGCCCCCCCCCCCCCAACTCCGCGACAATTTGCGCCAAATCCCTGGCACCACCCTCCTGGGCGTCAAAGGCAGCCCCGCCGGGAGAGCCCGAAGACGGCCCAAGACGTCCCCGGGACAGCCCAGTAGTGTTCCAGGGCTGTCCAAGCTGGCCCCTCGACGGTTCTGGAAGCCCCCAAGAGCATTCAAAAGATCGCCTCAATAAGCTTCCAAGAGCTCCAAGAGAGCTCTGGGGAAGCTCTCGAGAAGCCACACTCTTTGAAAACCAACCGAAAATCAATAGTTTTCTGTTTTCTCGCACTTCCGTCCCGGCATGCTTCCGAGGCTTGCGCGAGCTCCCCAGGGCTCCAAGAGAGATCCAAGAGGCCCCCAGGAGGCGTCCCGAGCGGTGCGAAGTGGCCCCAAGAGGACAGAAGAGGCCCCTCTTCACGCCCGAAGAGGCACCACCGAGGCCCCAAAGACGCTCCGAGCAGGCCCCAACGAGCTCATAGGAGCCGCCCTTGAGGCATCCAGCGCCGATGAGGGACCCGAGAGGCCTTCAAGAGTTCCCCATGAGCTCCAGGAGAGCTCCAAGATGCCCCCGAAGCGTCCCGAGCGGCTTACGTGGGCATGCGCAAGCCTCAGAAGCGCATCGGAGGCGGAAATGTGAGAGCACAATAATCGCACATTTTTTTGTTGTTTTGCAATGTGTTTGGCCTCTCGATTCTCGATGGCTTCCCCCGAGCTCTTGGGGGACTCTATGAGGCCTCTTGGGGCGTTCTTGGGTGCTCGTGAGGGCCTCCAGAGGTAATTCGAACAAAGGGAATTCCCTCAAATCACTGTTTTTCAAGCTCGCCCCCCCCCCCCCCCCTCCGTTCCCTCCTGCTCCAGGCTTCGTCGTGCCCCAGACTGCGTTGCCGTTTTCCCTATCCCTCGCTGTCCATTCTCCTTGCTCTCTCTCTCTCTCTCTCTCTCCTGCTCTTGGTTCTGCTGCATCTCGCGTTCCGTTCTAGCCCGTAGCCATTCTGGTCCAAGACCCCAGGGCCATTCCAGGGCGGCCAAAGGCGCGGGGAGGCCTGAGGGCCGGAGGGCGATGGCGCTGCGGGGGCGGCCGCCGCGGCGGGGCCAGCTCGCCGCGCAGGCTCGGCGGGAGGCCCGGTGCGCGTGCCGCGCAGCGCTGGCCGGGCGGTTGCTGCTGCTCCTGGCGGGTGCCGCGGCCGCTTTGAGCACGCAGCGGCGCGCCGGGCGGGCCTTCCTGCCCCCGCCCGCGGCCGCGCCGCGCGCCCTGGGCCCGCGGGCTTGCACGGAGGCCTGCGCGGGCGCGGCTGCAGTGGCGGCCGCCTGGGCGCCGGCAGCGCAGGCGGCCTCCACGAAGATCGAGGATGCCGCCGTGAGGTTTGCCGAGGTCAGTTATCCCATCGTGCAGTCTCTGAGCGCGAAGGACCTCGCTCCAGTGGCAGGCAAGGCCGTGTCGGCTGCATTCACGGGCGACCTGACCAAGGTCGGCAAGGCAGCGGATGCCGTGGTGCAGGTTCTGATGGCCTGCGACCCGCCCAAGGTTGTCGCGGTCCTGAAGTCCGTGGACGTGGCCCTCCAGGCAGCGCTGAAGGACGGCGGCCTCCTGCCGCCGCTGGAAGAGGTCAAGGAGGTGTCCAGGGCAGTGGCCGACGCCCTGCAGAGCACGGAGAAGGCGAAGCTCAGGGCCCTCCTTGACACATTCGTGGCGGCAGGCCTGTCGGGGAACCCGCTGGACATCCTGGGCGTGTTCTCCGATCCGTCGATCGCGAAGCTAAGTTTTTTCAAGGACGTCCTGGCCGCTGGCGGGGAGCTCGGCAACCTGCTCAGCGCGGCGACGGTGTGACTGGTTATGGCCGCCTCGCGGGCACGGTCGGGGCGACCCCAGCCCGCGCGAGGCGGGCGGGACGTGGCGCGAAGGTCGAGGGGGAACACAAAAGAGGAGGTCTTAGCCGTAAGCAGTGGGTTCGTAATCGTCGGCCAGCGAGCCGTCGAAAATGGCCTGATCTTCAAGTCATAAAAGAACACACCAGGACCGCGAGCACGTCTGGGCAAGCATCCCCGTCGAGGTCCCCGCCCGCCCCCTCAGGTGCGGGTTGCAAACAGCACCCGCTGCATCCGGTTGCAAATCATGGGAGCCCGGCGTGCCCTGTTCATTCCGTCTCTGTAGCGCCGAATCGCGTCGATTGGCGTTTGGGAGTCGATGAGATAGCGCCGATCTGGCGTCGGTTAGCGTCGATTTAGCGTCGATTTGGCGTCGGTCTAGCGTCGATCTAGCGTCGATGAGCGTCGATTCGAAAGAGCCGGCATATTGTTGTCTTCTTCTTCTGCCCGACGCGGGCTCGATGCGGACTCGACGCGGATTCGGCGTGGACCCGAGGTGGATTCGACACGGACTCGAGGTAGATCCGACGAGACCGACGCGTATTCGGCACGGATTCGACGCGGACAGGGCCGCGGCGGGACAGACAAGGTCCCCCTAGGATGCCTCTTGGAGGCGGGGGAGGAGGAGGAGGAGGAGGAGGAGGAGGAGGAGGAGGAAGAGGAGGAGGAGACGGAGGAGGAGGAGAAGGAGGAGGAGGAGAAGAAGAAGGAGGATGAGGAGGAGGAGGAGAAGAAGAAGGAGGAGGAGGAGGAGGAGCCTCTTGGAGGCAGTTTGGACGCCTCGCGGGGGCCGTCGCCGCCGGGCGCTGCTGGCGGGAGGGCCGCAGCTGGCCGCCCACGCCTCGGCCGAGGGCCCGCGGCGCGCGGGCCCCCCGCGCCGCGGCCTCCCCCCGGCCGGGCGGCGCTGGCGGGGCCCGCCGCCGCGGCGGTGGCGGGGCTGCTGGGCGCGCTGGGGCGCAGCATCTCGGGGGCGGAAAAGAGGGGGGTGATGACCAGGGGGGGGGGATATCATGGCGCGGGCCATGAGTTTCCCCCAGATTTCGTGGCGCCTCTTCTTGCTTCATTACGTCCCAGGCCCCCCCGCTGGGCCGCGCACATGCCGCCGGTCATGATTTGCACCCCCCCCTCTTGGACACCCCCCTCTTGGCCGCTCCCGAGCATCGAGAAACCGATCCAGAGCTACAGTCGGGGCGCTGAAGAAGGAATCCTGTTCGTTTGGGAGGGGCTCGGTGTTCCTTAGCTGTTTTGCAGTGTGCCTCCGGTTTTCCTCCGGTCTTCGAGGGGCAGTCGAAGCTCAACTTGTGGAGTTCTTTAGGTCAACACACCGACTGTACCGCTACCCTTCCTTCGTTTTTCCACTTTTTCGGGCCTCCTGGGAGGCCTTCGTCGCCACCGCTGGATGAGCCCCGAAATCCTGGTCAGGCCGAACCCCAGGAGCGGTCCTGGGAGTAGCTGTACGGGTACCTTGCGGTTTCCCCATAGTTATCGAAGGACGAAACACGGGGACCATGACAATGTCGCGGGATCTTGTCGATTCCGATCTTGGTCATGGTCCATGTCGGCCGTCGCCCATTCGCGAGGATAATCCACGTTGACCAGGATCGACGGTGACCAAGAACCACACGACGTTTCCGCGTTGAATATTTGTCATGGTCCCCGCTTTCACTCCCTCACAATTAGTAGGTATAGGCCTCCCAGATGGGGTCAGATCAGATGGGGTCGGAGGATCGCGCCGTATCGCCGATGCATCGGCGATGCAGCTCGATGTGGAACCCGATTTTCTCAACGCCGATGTCGCTGATGCATCGCCGACGTCGCTGATGCATCTGGGAGGTCTCTAGGAGGTCGATCATGCCAGATCGAGGGTACTCTCGTCTCCTATCTAGCCCGACCCATGCAGCCCGCATGTCCTGTGGTTTGCTGGGGCCACGTTGCCGTCGGAAGGGATTATTGTGTCACCTCGGGTGTCCTGTCCACTCAAGTCCGACCATATCCCCATCTCCATCCCCACCCCGAGCCCCAGCATCCCACCACCCCAGCTGGGGATGTGCCCCTGGAAGCCCGACGGGACTAGCCCACATCCCTATCTAGGATTGTCAATCGGCCAGAGGGGCCCAGGCCACGCCCGTGTGGGGACAGGGATGGGTTCAACGGTGCTCAGGGGGCGGGCCGCTGCCGGCTGCGCCCGGGCGCGGGGCCGCCGCGGCCAGGGCCCTGCCGGGAGGCTCCCCCGAGATCCGACCCGGGTTGAGCGTCGTGTTCGGCCTGCGGACGCCCCGGGACCATCAAAACACGACTGAGGACCTCAGGATGCAGCGCCGGCCCCGGGGGAACGGGTCAGGGCTCCCGGCGACCCCGCATTGACAAAAATCACAACGTCGGGTCTCGGGGTCTGGGCGGCCCTATGGGAGCGACGGGTCTCGGGTCTCGGGTCTGCCGGGGGCGGCCTGAGCCGGCGGCCTCCTGGGAGCGCGGGCAGCGAGCTTCGCGAGCGCCGTGCGGGGACCCGCCGACAGTCGCAGGCAGTCACAGGGGCACCGAGCGCGAGTGGTGTGCGGCAGGAGCAAGGTTTGGGTGGCATCGTGTGTCCTCCTCCTCTCCCTTCCGTGGCTGACGTTTGTCTTGCTTCTGGCCCGGGCCAGGGTTTTTTAACGGCAATTGCGGGCTGAAGGCGTTGCAGGCACGAGGCGTTGCAGGCAGACCCCCCCTCTTTTGCCACGCCTATGGCGTCTTCACGTTCCCCCCACTCTCTGGCACAGACGTGCATGTTGTATAGACAGAGAGACGGAGCTGCCCGTAAGGAACAGGAGTGTCCCTGGGCATTTGGCTCAAGCAGCGTTCCCAGCGCGTCCGCCTTATTCTCGTTTGACACTCGCCTTATACCCGCCTTTAGGGGGAAACAAAAAACACCCCCCTCAAAAAAAGAAGCAAGGCTCGGGCGGGGAGCACAGCAATGTCCCGTGGGCCCCGGAGTGTGGCATTCTCCTCTGCCCGCCCTTTCCTGGCCCCCTCTCCCCTCGTGAGGTCCTCCTGTGCTCGTTCGGGCTCTCCTCAGTGCCGTCAGAAATCAGACTCGGTGCTGAGAGGCTGCCAGGGTAGGCGATTCGCAACAACTGGCATGCGGGAAGCGGAGTGGTGGCTCGTTCTTGAAATCTCGTGGTGGGCAGGGTGGCTTTTCACTGGGCCCGAACGCTGGGTCTACAGCACAAAGTTTGTGATATGATTCCAGCTTGGCCCCCAAGCTACGAAACCCAGAACAGCAAGTCGGTGCAATACATGCACAATGATTGCAAACCAATGCCAATCAAAACAACAGACATAATGCACAAAGAAATTGTACGCACTGCAAGGTGCGTTGTACTTTTTGAATAACATGTAAAGCACACCATTCCATGTAACGCATGGCACAGTGAAGCAACGCACTGCAATGGCAATTCATAGCGTAACCCAGGGCGCAACATTTGGCGCAACGCATGGCGCAACCTATGCCGCATCCCATGGCATCTCACAAACCCCTGGATACTGTGGGGTCCTACGGGCGCAACCCATGGGGCAACCTGTGACGCTCTTGGAGCATTGTGGGACGGCGCAGCCCAGTGGCGCGACCGATGGTCCAGCCTGCGCCTTCGGACCCGATGAGCGCAATCCATGGTGCAAGCAATGGCGCGTCCTAGGGCACCCAGAAGGTTCCGCGGCATCATGGGACCCAATGGGTGCAACCCATGGCGCAAGTTACGGCGCAATCTATTGCATTCCAAGAGCCCCAGGTCACCAGGCCAATCGCTTTACAAGCAACGTGACAACCCCCAAGTGGAAACATTGTTCGGGGTACTACCTGATGCTGCTGCCTGCTCTAGGGTTCGTCGTGGTCTAAGACCCGCGCCGCACCACGTTCATAGTCGGTCTATTCTCTGTAGAGTGTAGACCCAATCGGGCTGCAAATCATTCCCACAATTCCCACAGCAACCCGCGCTGATTTGTTATCTGAACAGACTGATGCCAGCCTTTCGACCCCAAACACCTGATTAGTGTGTGTGTGTGTGTGAGAGTGTGTGTGTGTGTGTGCGTGTGTGTTTGTGTGTGTGCGTGTGTGTGTGTGTGTGCGTGTGTCCGTTCCAACCCCTCCCATCCTCACTCTTTCCATCTCGCGTCGGATGACCCTGGCCGGTCCCCTTGCCGCCCCCGACTGCTTGGTGGCGGCAGCATGCCAAAGACGCAGAGAGAGGGGGATGGTGTGGCGGACCCCAGGAAGTGCTTCGCCTGCGGCGCGCCTCGCCCTCGGCGGAAGGGCGGCGGAAGGGCGGCGGAAGGGCGGCGGAAGCCAGGAGAAGTAAGCGGTCGTTCTGTTTCCCAGTGGCCCCGCTGACACAATAGATCTGTTGCTCGTATCTTGCCCATGTTGTTTTCAAGCCGCGACGGCGACTTACCCTGTGAAAGCGTAAATGCGAAGACGCCTGCGGCGAACCACCGCCGGCCCCTGTCCGTTTGGGACCCTCCTGGGTGTTTTCCTTGGGCATGGGGCCTCTTGGCAGTTTCTTGGGGCCGCTTGGGCCGTCTCAGGAAGCTCGTGTCCCGTGTTTGACCTTCGGAAGCCGTCTCGGGGGCCTCCCTGGGTCGTCTTGGGGACTTGATGGAGCGCGTTAGAGGCGTCTTGGAATTCTCTTGGGCTGTTCCAGGTCCCTCTGGGGGCCATCTCGGTGGTCTCTCGGGGTTGTCCGAGGGCTACATTGCTGGCCTCGCTGGTCTTAAATCGAAGCGTGGTACCAGACTAAAGTACCAGACCGAATTACCAGACTGAAGCACCAGACTAGTGACCTCAGACTGAAGCACCAGAGTAGCATCATACTGACGCGTCAGACTCAAGCGCCAGATTAAAGCGCCAGACGAGCACCAGACTAAAGCAACGACGCGGGATATTCCCCGCGGCGATGTGGACATGTTGCTCATATGTGTGGACTATCATCCGTCTCTCCTTCGACGTCGTCACATTGTCGACGACGTCGTCGTTGAACGGGAAGTTTTTTCGTGCAACGCTGGGGACATCGAAGCGCGGTACCAGACTAAATAACCATACTAACGTACCAGACTAAAGTACCAGACTGAAGTACCAGACTGAAGTGCCAGACTAAAGTACCAGACTAAGTACCAGACTAAAGTACCAGTCTGGTGCCAGTAGTCTGGTACATTCAGTCTGGTACATTTTTCTGGTTCGGTAGTCTGGTACATCAGTCTGGTAT